ACTCTTTACTTTTAGCGCTTCTTATTCGTAGTCTCCTCTTTTGTTGCTTTGCTCCGATTTGTTTTATTAGCATTTCTCCTGACACTATTTGACTCCAGACAAGTGAAGCAGTGTTCTCATGTATACAATCCAGTCATTGCTCGTCTTTTGTATTTTCACTGCCGTCCTGGTGTGCGAGTGATTTGTGACTATACATCAGTATGATACGGAAATTAATTAAGCCGTTCATTTATCCGAATGCTTGCTACACCATGTGAACTTCACACGACTGGGTAATGTAGGGCAAAAGCGGATAAGTATACTCTACTAAGTCAGCTACCCAAATGCGTTAACCTACTGAATCTACTAAACAGATGCTGAAGTCAACGAGAGGCGGTGCAGTACATTCCCACTCGAGAACCTATGTGAAGTGGTGGCGGTAGCTTGGCCAACCTACTCACTCTCGTATTCCAAGTGCAACGGATCACATTTATGTAGCACTAGAAAAAACGGATGGATTTATTCTCCAAACGCGTCCATTTAGTGCTGACAACTGAAAGTCAGTAGCTTCCTTTCAGCGAACCTAACGTGGTTTGGGCTCAAAATAAGCCAAAATTGTAGCTGTGTGCACTCGTGCAATCAACTTTCCAACGTGGATTGCTGAGCTCCAGGACTTTTTTTGCCACCTATAAGCGGCCATCCCAGGCACAAGATCGTTGTTATTTCTGCTTTAGATTACTTGTCCGAAGTATCTTTCTGATAGGCAAGTACACTAAAAGCTGCAGTCCTGACCCTAGCAAAGGTAGTACATTGGATGTGATGGGTAGTGTCCCTAACTGGGGCACACGCTGTTCGTGCCGTATGAGCAAAAATGCTGGGTTCAAGTCGCAGTTCTAATCTCAGAATCGACGTTAGCTACTTTATGTTTAATAAACCATCGTTAATTTTCTTCTATTCGAAGACTGCAAGTACATGTGACGCCTGTCATAAAGTCTGTTACTGTGAGTTGGAGACGAATAACATTTGACTGCTTCGTATTCCTCCCCAGATGGTTGCAATAACCGCGAAAACCTGAATCTGTACTCCTCTGTACTCCTCCGGAATCTGAGACTGCGTGGTACAATCCTCCACACAACGGGTGATTCGAATGGATCATCAAAAATTGCAAAGATTACCGGATTGCGCAAGCGGCATAGTTCATCATTTAGGAAGTTTCCTAACGCGCTAGCCAGGTCCTCATCCATTAATTTCCAATAGCGATGAGACGTATCGGATAGATTATGGGCTCAGGAATAATGTGGCGGCTCCCTGACCAACACGTATCAGGTTGCATGAGGTTCTGCACTACCTGGCTTCGACATGTGGCACGCACATTTGTCCATGACGGTGTACTCGCAATTTCCATAATTTGCTAGCACTTTTTCATGCACCCAATTGCGCGCATTTAGACAACCTCGTGCAAGGTGGGGTACGTTCAACCCTGCCAAATGACAAACAGTGAAGCCGTTGCCATGCATTTGTAGGTGCCGTGTAGAGGTCGCTTGTGTACAAGCCTGTGTGTGTATATGCGTGTGTGGTAGCACCCATACCTTCGCTTGCTGCGTTAGAGACGAGCGATGTAACAGTCAGAAAGAGAATAAATCGGGGTTGGGGAGAGGCTATGCGGTCTCCTCTTTTGAACAATTGGCCGGCTCTCAGGATAGTAGAGGAGGAGGTGTATACGCATTAGTCAATTGTCAAGAAGGAGCGGGAGAGAGAGCAAGAGGGACGCCTTACGTTAGCTAAACATGTATGCTAAATTGCTGGACAAATGATAAAGTGGAAAACGATGCAGAAAACTTTTGTTTCCTTTAGATCTGAAGCCTATGCTTTTCGTGCTGTTCCGTCTATCTGTCCATGTATGTGCAAACTATCCTATTCATTTAGGAGAAGCAATGCACTCATTGTGCGTTAGTGTGGTAGAGCCAGATGCGATGTGGAAGTGGTCAGAATTTTCTGTCGGTTCTTTGACAGGCGTTTTAGCCCTCAGGTAATTCTTGAGGATGGCCAAAAACAGTTCTGAACTATGCATATTAGTGCCACCGATACCGTACGAAACAACGCATAAATGGGCCATCTATCCGACGATACTTACATTCAGAGGTTGGGGCATCTTCAGAAAATTGCACCATTTATTACGGCCTTACTTATGTAATTAGTAAATGCGATCGATGAGGGTTCCAGGCAGAGATCGAATAAAATTGTTCCGCTTGAAACATGCATATATTGAAACCGATAAAAACAAAGCCTATGGATGCCCAATTGAACCAGATTTTTCAGATAAGCTTCCTAACTTTGCTCAAAAGGACAACATACTAACTGCATCCTTCTTATTGAGTCTAAGGAATTCGTGTGGCTTATATATATCAAGGTGGAATTAGGAATATACTAAATGCGCTCCTGTGGTCAGTTTGGCATTTCTGCCATATAAGTCATTACACCATATCACTATATCGTATCGTCAAAGTTACAAGATATTCGATTTCGAACTACGACTTAATGGTAAGCCGGATACCAAGGAATAAAGGTGTCTTTAACTAAAGAAAACATTTTATTCGTGGTGCTACTATAATTTTGGTCGTCCGTGATCAAAGCGAATAGGATCATGGGAAAGCATTTTGTGAAGAATTGCATAATGAAACTAATTGTTGGGAATTCGGCTTCAGTATAAGGTGGAGTCAGTTTCTCCCAGATTCTTCGTGTCACATTTAATACACATTTTGTATGTACTTGTTCCCTAACACGATAAGCCTAATTGCCAAAGCCTCAGAAAAATATATGACGGTGTAAGCATCCGACTGACTGAAACTCAATTCCATGCACAATGGAGAGAGGCTCCTGAAAAACAAACACGGATGAGACGAGTAGGATCAAGTTCCATTCGCACCGATGCCCTCGTCCCCTGTATCGGCTTGTGGCTCTTAAAAATGCATGCGTGTAAAACGTTACGCTCTCACGGTGTTACCTCTGTTTCTTTCAGTATAACAAATCTATGGAATGAATAAACGCATCACGATACATTTGGCAACATGACTGCGGTTCAAAGACAATAACTACCCGTTCGTGACTGATTTTCACTATGGAGATTAAGCATTAAGAGCTGAGAAGGTAGAGAAAGATATTTAGCATTGCTAAAGTTGGAGAGGCAGTTATCGGTGACAGAGTAATTCTTGTGAGCAACTTGGTTACAATTGTGACCACCAATGGGTGAATACAAACAGTACGAATTTTGTGCACCAAATGTAGACATTCAAGCGTTATCTAAAGTGAACATGGAAAGCAAATTCCCCGTTGAGGATACTGCCTACTTCGCTTTATGTCATATGGAGGTGAATAAATTGTTCTCACTGCCCCCATTAAACAACTCCAATGGAGACACGATAACTGATAGCGTGTCCTTAAGGTATCTACATCCTCTGTTCTCATTAGCCCATCGTGAAACCTACCGTTACAAGATTTGAAACCTTGCTATTTCGCTAAGATATCACAGTGAACGGATTATCTGCCGATTTTTAGCCAATATATATATATATATATATATATATATATATATATATATATCACTCACGCCGCTGAAAAGCGATAGAAAACATCCGACCAGATGTGATAATTTAAGATAGAGCACAATCTTGGATTGCGGGATTTTAAAAAAGTACGTCAATAATGAAGACACGGTGATGCCGTAGTTAAGGAGAAAGTTCATTACTTACCTCATTGCTAACCGCAGTGTGATTAGATCGAGGAAGTGTATCTTGAACAGCACTGCACGGTCCGCGGCGTTTAGCGACATGAAACTAGGAACCATTTCTGCATACCGCTCGATCTCCAACATAGACTCCTTCAGTGTCTGGCAAAATTTTTTCAAATACATCGTCGCCGCAGAGCTGTGTGGCTGTGAGAAAAGTAAAGAAATAATGAAAAATGGCGAGCTAGTGTTAATTCATAAACACATCATAATGCTAAATCATTGAAGACAAATTGCTGAAACGCTTTTGAAGAAGTCAGCTTTTGATGTATGTACACAACCGTGATGATATCTGAGCACTGGTCCACAGTTTACTGACGCACAGCAATGCGCCTCCATCATGAACGATCAAGTCAAGGAAAGCACTTCTGATTGGTGTTCACCTTTCTAAGAGTGAAAGTGAGTCTACTTTCATACACACCGGACACCTCGGTTTAAGATCAATCCACTGCAGTGCACACCACATACCGAAATGCAACGGAATCAGCCACTCCAACACACATGAATTGGATGAAACCACTGGAATTATCAAATAGAACTTAGCAATGTTTATTCCAGTTGTACTAGTAAAGGTGTTATCAGAAAGAACTAAGCACTGTGCCAAAGTCTGATTCTACCATACAACAAGATGATACCCACCAACTTCACCAGGTCTTTTGACGCGATTCGTCATGCGAATTACCGGACTACCATTTAGTGATTTCATCTAACTAGATGCTACAATGGTGCTAGAAAATACAGCACCCCGAGGCAGTCCGCTTGCAGATTTGTCTGGCATACGACTTTGTTAACGGAACATCGGTCTACGATAGAAGGTCTCACAGAATGGTCAGTTCGAGAAACATGACGTCGTGTATACGGAGTAGGATACGCAAACGTATGGTGATGCGCAACGTGGCGTGGTATACCCACAAAACCCATCCGAGTCCGAGTACCTGGAAGGTATATGTTGTCCACTGTAACAACTGTACCCAATTAGTGCTCTGGGAAAATGTAGCTTATCAACATGCTTTGACGGAATGATTAACTGCAAATCCTACGCTTCGGTACAAGCACGTGAACAGACTCCGCAAGGTGAAAAGTGGATTACCCCCACTTCAAACAGCTGATGGTCTAACTTGGACTAGTAAAGGAGCGTCGAATGTTATGCAACTACAATATACACCAAGGTTTAATTACATCCCGTGGTCTTCTGAATCTTTGAAATATATGGTGCCTCCACAAAGACTCACTCATATAAATTTTACGGCAGATATCGTGACGAGAAAGCTGCTATCCATGTGCCTGCACGCCTGCCCAGGAATTGAGCATATCCACCAAAAGACGCTTGCTGTGTCGGCCACCAGTTTGGCCGAACAATTGGCGCCGGTTTTCCAACACTGCAACATGGAAGCACGGAATAATAATTCCTAGTTACAAGGGGATTAGTCCTTCCGACCCAGCTAAATATCGACCAGGGACGCTAACGCCAGTCTCTTCAAAAGTCATAGAGGCCATCATTTCAGACGCAACCATATCTTAACTGGACGGCTTTGGTTACACAGCTCAGCAGCAACACGGCGTCCGCTAGAATCAGTCGTGCACAACAAGTCTATCGGCTATAGCAATGAAGATGGGTAGCCCAGGTTGTTCAAACGGCTGTTGAACTGTTCGCTGAGCTCGGCAATTTTGTTGTAAACGTTTCGTCACCTATCGAGGTGACATCATCAGTGCGTAGTTGAGTGGCGTGCAATAGCGTAGAGTAGGGTAGAGGAGCCTCGGTGAGAGTGCGCTGAGCGTGGTGTGCGTGCGCTTTTTATTCCACCGTGGTTGGCCATGGAGCCGAGCAATCCTATTGGTTGGGACTTCGATCCGCGTTCAGCTTGGGTGATGGGCAGATGACCTTTGACCTCGCCTCCTTATGTTTCGTGGTCTTTGTCTGCTTGCTCCCGCGAGCGAGTTTGCCGTCAGTTCTGTTGGTCTAGTCACACGTTCCACAGGATTCAATCGTTCGGGTTGACGGTCGTTCCTCAGTACTGCGGCGGATACTGCGTCCAGTTCGATGTGTCGATTGATTGAATGCGTTGTAGAGTACCAGGCTTACAAAATTTCCCTCGCGTGTTTTGTACTTCCATGGGCTAGGATCTTTACGTTCCCCAGATCGAAATGGTGGCCTTCCTGATCTTCATGCGCAAAACCCAATGAGTGTGGATCATGTCTTCTGACAACCGCCTTGTGTTCGGTGATTCGTGTACAAAGTTTTCTACCAGTTTGTCCGACGTAACTTTTATCACAGTCGCTGCATTTGATCTGGTAGTTGACATTGCATTGGTCGGCTTGATCGACTTTTCCTTTGGGTCTTGAGATCAATTTTCTGAGGGTGGCACTCGGCTTGTGCGTCACAGAGATTCCATGTGATTGTAGCAATCGCCCTGTTAGTTCGGAGACGTTCTTGAGGTAGGGAAGTAGTATCTGTTAGTTTGCTTGGTCAGATGACGGCTGCTGTTGCTGAGGCATTCGTTTCTTTAAGCTTCTTCTGATGAAATTTCTCGGATAACCGTTCTTTCTAAACACTCGATATAGGTGATTTTCTTCCTGTTTCCGAGATTCGACTGTGCTGCAGTGCATTTTCACTCTTTTGAACAGGGTTTGGATGTAGCTCTTCTTATGATACATCTGCTGTGGTAGTTTAATATCTGGTCCGTATGTGTTTTCTTCCGATATACACACGTTTCGATAGATCCGTCTCTATTCCTAGTGATCAGTACATCCAAAATTGGTAGCTTGTTATCCTCCTCTAATTCCATCGTAAATTTGACGTCCTCGAATGTGCTTTTTAGCAAATCGTGCGCCGCCTGCACTCTGTTCCGTTTTAGGATGACAAACGTGTCGTCCACGTATCGTATCCAGGGTTTTGGACTGATAGATGGCAGTGCAATGCGCTGCAATTTCTGCATTACGGCTTCTGCAATGAGCACCGAAATTGGTGATCCCATGGGGGTTCCTCTCAGTTGTTTGTACACTTGTCCATCAAAGCGGAAATAAGTGGTCATGCAGAGGTTCAGGAGTTCTCAAGAGCTTTCAGGTCGTATGGTTGTCGTGGGGCTTAGTTGATGCTCAAACAGTTCCAACTTGGTTTCTTTGACCAATTCGTGACCGATGAAAGTGAAGAGTGCTGTGACATCAAATGAAAGCATTATTTCATCGTCTTCTATTCTGACACCTCGCAGTTTGTTGAGGAACTGTTCAGCTTTATTGATGCTATATTCGAATCCGGCAACCAAATGATTCAACCTTCTCCATAAATCCTTCGCTAGTTTATTTGATGGGGTTCCGGAGAGCAAGACGATTGTTCGTGTTGGGACTCCATCTTTGTGTACTTTGGGAAGTCCATAAAACAGTGCAATGTTTGTATCATCAGCTTTCATTCTCCAGCTCTCTGTGGTGGTGAGCTCACTGTAAAGTCCAAAAGGAACTTTGATGTATCCCCAAACTGGATTGCTTACACGAGGACACGGTATCTCTTTTCCCTGATTATATTGCACATTTACACTGCTTTTCTGTGTTTTACAAGCGGTTAACATATCGCATATTTATTTCTTACACTCCATCACTGACACATCCTTGAGGTTTCAAGTTCATTCTTATTATTATGTTACTGTGACACTGCCCAAATACTCGATCCGCTCCACGCAGGACTGTTTCTGCCCACTTGCATTACGATTGCGAAACCTATTCGTAAGTCATGTACTGTATTTATTATGCCTTATAGAACCACGGTTACAGGATAATTCGTTTTCTTCTTCTGCCCAGACCGTGCGTTAAGTCTAGGTTTATCTGTTCGTAGTTTCAGTTTAGTTTTCGTACGACGTACTTAGTTTAGGCTTAGTGAATTTGGTACACTCACTATTTGTTTGTAGTTTCTTAAGCGTTGCGTTGAGCTGGCTAATCAGTTTTGAACTTGGATCTTGATCGATCTGGCGATATGCAGTTTTGTCTGCTAGCAGTTCTGTGGCCTTATTAAGTTACTCTGGCCTGTCCATTATCATTGTCATGCGTCATTTATCTGCTGGTAGGATTACAATGTTCGCGTCTTTCTGTAGACGTCTGAGTGCATCTTGTTCCTCCTTGGTTAGGGTATGAGTGCGTTTATTCCGAGTAAGCACTGGGACAACGGTCTGCCATATCTGTTGCTGGGACTCCTCCGACAGTCCGTTTGATTTCAATGCGTGTTCTAATCTAGACAAGTAGTCTTTGAGTCAAGCATCTCTGAGGTTGAAATTAAGCCCCTTAATCAAAATATCCTCTTAAGTTGCAATGAAGAGGCGGCTTGAAAGCTTTTTATCCATTCTTCACTGCTAGTGAATTAATGGATTATGATGGGGGATGGGGCATGATGGGTGTGAAGGATGGTTCAAAAACCTTGCACGAAACCACTTCACTGCAAGAAGAAAACACATACGGACCAGATATTAAACTACCACAGCAGATGTATCATAAGAAGAGCTACATCCAAACCCTGTTCAAAAGAGTGAAAATGCACTGCAGCACAGTCGAATCTCGGAAACAGGAAGAAAATCACCTATATCGAGTGTTTAGAAAGAACGGTTATCCGAGAAATTTCATCAGAAGAAGCTTAAAGAAACGAATGCCTCAGCAACAGCAGCCGTCATCTGACCAAGCAAACTAACAGATACTACTTCCCTACCTCAAGAACGTCTCCGAACTAACAGGGCGATTGCTACAATCACATGGAATCTCTGTGACGCACAAGCCGAGTGCCACCCTTAGAAAATTGATCTCAAGACCCAAAGGAAAAGTCGATCAAGCCGACCAATGCAATGTCAACTACCAGATCAAATGCAGCGACTGTGATAAAAGTTACGTCGGACAAACTGGTAGAAAACTTTGTACACGAATCACCGAACACAAGGCGGTTGTCAGAAGACATGATCCACACTCATTGGGTTTTGCGCATGAAGATCAGGAAGGCCACCATTTCGATCTGGGGAACGTAAAGATCCTAGCCCATGGAAGTACAAAACACGCGAGGGAAATTTTGTAAGCCTGGTACTCTACAACGCATTCAATCAATCGACACATCGAACTGGACGCAGTATCCGCCGCAGTACTGAGGAACGACCGTCAACCCGAACGATTGAATCCTG